AGAGGTATCGGTTGCTTCGAGGCCTGGAAGTCACCGCCCAAGAGGCAAGCAGACTGCTATATCTCCTGGAGGAGCAAAGAGCTCCTCCTCATTCTACGGTGTGCAAGTTTGGTTACACACTGCTTGGAGCGTTGGCTGGAGCAGCGCTGCTGGGGAGGAAGGAGCGCCCAACTCTCCACCTTGGCTATGGTGGAGGAGCATGGGCTGGAGGAGGAGGAAGGCGAGGGCTAGGAAGGAGAGAGCGCCAGAGGTACTTACCTGGCTATGGTGGATGGCATCTTCATCATCTTGGTGGGCGCTGCATCTGGAAAGCCCCAGTTGGGGTAGAGCTACACCAACAACCTTTGAGGCAGAGGCAGACATAGCAGCCTGAGCTAGAGCAGCCATAGCTGCTTTGAGTTGTCTTCTGCACATCAGGGCAAGGCCCTAGCAGTCCGCCATAGCCTCGACGTTCGGGAAGAGGAAGGAGAAGGGTGGCCATGGCTATGGTGGACCTCTTGTTGTACCTGCAATATTCGGACATTGATTCTGGTTCAGCCATTCAACATTATTATTATTATTTATTGTTTGAATAAGAGAGGAGGAGAAAAGGAGGAGGAGAGTGGTTGGCCAGAAGAAGGGAATTATCATTGGTCTTTGTTGGTGTACATCTTCTTCTTCTCCTTCTTCTTTCTGTCTCTCTTCTCCCAAGTTCATTCATTTCTTTTGCAATTGGACGACATTGTGCTTTCTCATGAATGTGTACTTCGAAATTGGCCAAGGATCATAACATTGGTATCGGAGCCGATTCTGCTTGCTGGCGAGAGTTGACTTTGCTACCCTAACCCTAACCTAAGTGGTTGAGGGCACCACTCAGGGTTAGGGTTGGTTCGGAATTGGAAAGTGGGGCAGCGTGGTCTAGGGAAGCTGACCCCACCTGGCAGGGTCATGTTGGGTTGGCATTTGACCCGCCAGGTCGCTTGAGAGTAAGTTTGGGGGTGGCGAGACATTCCGTGGAGACTTCATGCGACAATTTGCGAGAGGCGACAGTGAGAGGCACTCGCACCTGGAATCTGATTCAAGGCAGACACTTGGTGACTTTAGGGCTTCCCTCAAGTAGGCGAGCTTTAGGGAAAGCAGCCATTCTCAATCTACGGACTGCAAGTTGCTACTTTGTTCTTCAACATCGGCGGAGTCAGACCCTCCTAGGAGATAGGACACTAGTGTAGGGGTAGCGTTACAAGGGTCAGGAGGATCAAATGAGAGGGGGGTGGGTTCTATTCATCTCGAAGCTCAGGCCACTCAAGTAAGTGTCGTGCACCTACGGGATGCCAATGTGTTTGTGCATGGTATTGATTGTCCGGTTGGTTCTGGGTTTCTTTCCTACTCCTCTGCGGTCTTGATTGTGTGTTTGAGTATGTGAACTACTTACTCACCTAATGGATGGAAAAATGAACTATCTTGCTTTGAATGTCGAGTCCTTTTACAATGCTTTGGCTTTCCATCTTTGAACGAATGTAGTCTGTAGGTTTTCTCTGAAAGTTGAAATTCATTTTTCAGTATGGTAGAGGCAGAAAGTAAGTCCACGTGGGACTCCTCTTGGTTGGGACTCGGTCACAGCCTACGTGGAACTCTTAGGGACCCATAGGGACCGGGCCCAAGCAAGAAGGGCCCCTTGGACCCAAATTTGCTAGACATCGGTTCATTCTCTTTCTGACTGGGATTCAGATTTATTCTTTTGGTTAGGACACCCGCCGCCAAGGGGACCTTGGCTAAGACATTCCACATGCTTTTATTGCACCATTCGTAGCTTGACTCGCACCTTGTACACCACTTAATTCTCCATTGTTGCATGTCGTCACTCGTTGATGATTTGTTGTACGTTCACGGAACTGGTCAGACTGGACTTGAGGGGATCTCGTATTCGGACTGACCAGGCTGAGTCACTAGATCAGACCTCTCATTTGAATTTAGTTTTTTAATTTTTTTTATCAGTGGTTGCTCTCTAGTCCAAATGTAATGCCGCTCCAGCTAGGAGTTATACCTTTTCGGTTTGTTTCTTTTTCCGAGTTCATATTTCGATTCCCGTAGAGAGTTGTGGACAAAAAGAGGAGAGAGAGAGAAGGGAGAGAGAGAGCACTCACCTTGAGCGACTTGCTGAATCTTCTTTTGAGATGCCAGCTGAAAACCTTGGTAGTTCTAACATGGCAGCAGTAAAGGCTTCAGTGGCCTTAAAGGTCCAATTGGATGCGACCGACAAGGAGGACAAACCATTGTTCCAAGTCCTCTACGACAAGGCACTGGTGAGGGAAGAGAAGGCAGCGGGGGAAAAGCGGAAAACCGCTATTACGGAACATGAGGTTGTTTTCAAAACAGTCCCCTCCTTGCCAGACACTGAGGTGAAGAAAGATCTGGTCAAATATGTGCGTGCTCTCATAGACTGTCACCTGCTTAGTGAATCTCTAAACTGTTTGACCAGGTAAGTAAACTGCAAATGCAGATTGCGGATATAACCAAGGAGCATAGTGCTCAGATGTGGCAGATAGCAAATCTGCAGGCCCACATTTCTAACTCTCTCTACCTCATGCCTCCAATGCATATATATCGCCAAACAGAACTGCACGGTAAACCGTTGGCAGAGAGGGAGAAGAGGAGAGCAAACGAGGGGTTGTGACAAACTGTTTTGTCGGAATTTCACCGACTCATATATATATATATATATTATATTATAATATATATGTATATATATCGTCAAATAGAACTGCCCGGTAAACCATAGGCAGAGAGGGAGAAGAGGACAACAAACGAGGGGCTGTGACAAACTGTTTACATATATATATATAGAGAGAGAGAGAGAGGGAGAGAGCTGTGCTGTCAATGCTCTCTCTCTCTCTCTCTCTCTCTCTCTCTCTCTCTCTCTCTCTCTCTCTCTCTCTCTCTCTCTCTCTCTCTCCTGCAGGATCTCCATCCCATTCATTCTCCATGTTTTGCAATCAAAACCTGGGAGGTCTAATGATGCTATTGTGAACTGCTGGGAACTTTCCCCTGAAAGAACTCACGCTGCAGACATCCCGAGTCTCAGTTCCACGGTCCCAAATTGTCCCAGTCCTGTTCGGGCCCAGTCCCAGATGGTCCCGGTCCCAGGCTGTCCCGGTAGGGTAGGTCCTAAGATCCATAGTTTGAAGCGTCGTAATCCTGTAGGTGTCAGTACTGAAACGTTGTAGGTTGTTGGAAGTCAGTCCGCTACCCGACAAGGAAAGTCCAGTCCAGTCCAGTCCAGTCCAGTCCCAAGTTCTATTTTTGCAGCATGTCCCAGGAAAGTCCAGAAGCAGCTGGACCAACAAAATGATTGCAGCAGACAGGCCGCGGTCGACCGGTACCAGTCTGAAGCAGGCCAAGCCACGTCCAGTTCTATATTTAGCTGCTACAGTGCAGCAGCTCATCAGTTGTTCAGTGGTGAGATGCGGAAGTTCTGCTGCTGCTTGTGCATTGAGGTGACTTGGGCACATCGCGCCTGGGGGAGTAAGAGGGTGCGCGAGATACTCCATAGCTAGGGTAGCGAAGAAGGAGTCAGGCGGCCAGAGCCGCCAATCTGTGAGCTTATCTGAGTGGGTGTATCCAGGGTTACGATCCAGGTTAGAGAGATAGAGAGATACAAGCGAAGAGAGATGAGAGTGAGTGAGAGGGAGAGAGGGAGAAAGTAGAGCCATGCCCGGTGTACTCTGAGTTGAGCGCAGAGTGTGTGTGCGGCAGAGCTGCTCGTGACTTGGACGATGCCTTTGTATAATAATAATAATTTGGTGACGGTTTCTTCATGCTTTGACTGTATCTCGGCTCGGCATCTCAAGTGTGGACTCTCATGTGAATGTTCTTTGTGTGTGTGCGAAGTTGAGTGCTGATTGGGAACTCGGACCATTGCACCCTGGTCTGCTGAGAGTGAATTGATCTTCTGTTTCATCCTCTATAACTGCTTTGTACCTTCAGATAGATTTACTCCTACCTTTGCGCATTGACACCCTCGCAACTTCGTCTTCATTGAGGTACGCTGCCAGCATGTTTTTCAGTCTGGGTTGTTTGCTTGGATTGTAACATCACCCTTATAATTCTCATTGATCTTGGTGCATGTCATCCGTATAATTCTCATTGATGTTGGTGGATGTCGCCCTTATTCTCACTGATCTTGGTGGATGTTATTGGCATGCCATGCCATCTTGCTGGGAGTCTTCCGCTGCTCTTTCATGAGTGTTTCTCTGTCATTTTGCTATGCTTCATATAGTGATTTTTTTTTATTTTTTTTTAAAAAAGAACCCTCAATCACTCCCAGGTCTGCTCCGGGTGCTGGTACGAGCAGCCATCCTCAGCAACCTGCGACGGGGTCCAATTGATTGGTGGGGAGCTACACCTTCTGGAAACCGGGTCCGCCATCCCTCACAAAGAGTGGAAACCAGATGTTCAGAAAGAGATCAAGATACAGCCCAGTTCCCTGCTGCCCAAGACACTCTGCAGGGGGGACTGAAGCCGTGCCCGCGGGGGGCACGCCTCCCCTCTCCCGAGGTGCACCTAATGGCCGGGAAACAGACCTATGTACCCTGTTGCACATTAGGCATGCCTTGGGAGGGGGGGGTGGCAGTCTCCTGGACACCACCTCAGTTGCCAGGCCTCACAATGCCTCATACATCCTACTTCTACCTGTTCCAACCCCCTATACCAGTCCCAGCCCATACATATCCAGCATACACCGTCAATCTAATCTCCATCTACAGTCCAATAACAGCTTCCCGTCTAATGCCCTACCCTATTGTTTCTGAACAAGCCCGCCTGCGAGGCCCTGAATTCAGCAACCACTTGTCGACTCCACGCTTCACTCAACTACCCCAGTGATTGTATTGTTGTTGGGCTGCTTGTCTGGCTATTGTTCAAGTTTAAACCGGTGTTCAACTTTTTTTTTTTTTTTTTTTTTTTTTGGTTCAACTTACTGATGGGGGTTGTGAATGTTACTTTGTTGACTTTCTGGAGTATAGCCAATCGTTCGTGAGGCAAAAGTCTACGTGAATGGAAGACCAGTTGAAGTCACAGGCGGGCCAGTTCATGCATTCCAGCCAATCAATCTGCCCCTCGGAAGACTCTCAATGATTGAGGTCAAGGTATGGCTCTTCTCTACTTCCGCCTGAGAACATCCGAGAAGACTTTTGGCTCTGCTTCACCTTGTGGACTGCTTAGTGTTGTTGCTACCTTGCAAATTATTTTATTTTATTTTTTAAAGACCAGCCTTCGCCTGGTAGGAGGGGTGATGAGAGCAGCCCCTGCTACTAGGCCCACAGTGGACCTTGCAAAGTTGATAAAAAGCTATTCCCAAAGCTTCATCAAACATTAAGATTGATCACTGAAGATCACTCGAGGGAGGGAGGAAGAATGGGAGGGAGGGGGGAAGGGAGGGAGGGAGGGGGAAATCATGCATGGATGGTCAGTCGGTCAACGGGTGGATGGCAGTCGATTCTCCCTCAGGTAGTAATCAATGTTGTGTCAGGGGTCCTTCGGCCTAGACAGAAGGAAGTGTAGAGTGGCCCTGAGTGAGGCTTAACTTGTAATATGGTTATACTTGCTGGTGGAATTGAACCGGGCTGATTCCCCCAGAATGGACAAGGAGCCAGACAATAAGGAGTATTAAGGACCTGTTTAGGTGGTGGTGGGGAGGGGGAACAATCAATAAAGATCCCTTTTGGGGACCATTTCTCAATTTGTCTGTATCACCCTTGAATGCACAGGGCCCATGCTAATCTTCTCTGTATCATTCCAATTTCACCGGATGTCCTGAAGGACGAATGATTTAACCCAACTGACCGCATATACACTAATGGTTAATAGGTGGTGTCAGTAGCGAAAAAGTTGGCAAAAACACCGAATTCAGGAAAATTTTCGGCGAACTCTGAAAGCTACTCCGACGAGGTTTTATAAATTTATAGTGCTTTTGAGTCCATCAGAATTACCCTCAGTCCTACAGAATATGGTCTAGTTTGTGTCTCAGTCAAATACTTTTGGTATGAAGACCCCTACAGAGTCAACGGATGGGGTAGAACCAGAGGTGTAAAGTCTAAGGTCGTAGCTTTTGACCTAGCAAAGTCCAGGGGTCAGCAGTTGGTCCTCCTGACCCTGATAGATCTCCAGAAGTGATACTGCGAGGCTACKSYCKCTTAKMCMCWWCKRG